ATATATATATATATATTTGAATAAGTGAAACCAATTATTTTGAATGAGTTTGGTAATGCCAATGTTAAGTTTGTATAATTTTACTTTACCATGGGGATCAAATTCGTCGCTCGAATCTTCTGAGGTATCCCAATGTTCTTTCAACAACTCATTATATGTCGTTTCTGATCTAAAATGAGAATAATATTTTGTTAAAAGAAAATATTCATAGGAATGAAATCTTTAAATGGTTTAGATTTAAAGAAGAAGTTCAATTTCAACTCACACTGAGCACAAAGTATGTTTCTCTGCTGAGAAATTACTCTCATAGGATCTCAACGATGATGGTGAATTAATTTCATTGTCCAATGATGGACACTCTTTTCGTCCACAGATGGATTCATAGCCAAATAAGGAGTCCAACCAATAGTTTCTCAAAGTTTCTCTCATATGTTCATAACAAAGATCCCTAGTGTGCTATTGATTTGATTTATTAATACAGAAAGTCCATTGTTAATCTTTTGTAAAATAAGCAAACTGTTGAATAAGTCAATTATCAAACTATATAAAATATTCAACAGAATAATATTAAATTAAACTTGATGTACTTTCAGCCATGAAGCTGTTCTCCTTTTATGTCCTTACCCACAAATTTTCAGTCTGGAAGTAATTTTGTTCAAGATCTAATCCTTTCAGTTTTGGCAAGTTCAGTATCACTTCTGGTACTGTTTCAAAGTCATTATTATACAGATCCATATATTCCAAGTTTTTCAAGAATTTCACACTGTCAGGCAGTCTGCTCAAATGATTATGGCGCAGTTTTAATTCCTTTAGCAACATTAATTCTCCAATTTTCTCAGGAAGGTTCATTAATTTATTATTATCCATTATTAACCTGCTCAAATTCTTCAAAGAACAAATTTCTTCTGGCAAAAAGTGAATATTATTGAAGCTTAAGTTTATATTAGTTAGATTAACAAATTTATTTATTATTTCACATACTACTGGAAGCCCTGTATTACGCATATCAATTTCTTTCAAACTAGATGGTCTCTTCTTTGTCCTGATGGGCATGGTTGGAAAATAATTTTGGTATTTGAATTTTTCATTTCCAACTGTCAGTTCCTCAAGATTTATCATTCCAGATATTATGGTTTCAAGAAATACCTCACTAAGATTGCATTGCTTCATTGATAATCTTTTAACATAGGATATTGTTGACTTCTTTGGTAAATTGAATGTTCGAAATCTTGTGTCATTCAATGACACTGTATGGAGCTTTTTATACTTGGGACTCAGTATCCATTTTGGAAATGAGGGGGAAATACTATTCCCATTTGCATAAAACATGGTTAAATTAACACTCCTGGGATAGATATTCAATTCTGAATTCCAATTTTGAGAGAAGTCAAGAATTTGCAAATTTTTCATTCCTTTGGCCACACACTTTGGTATCCTTTTAAATAAATTGCAACTGATGTAACAAACTTCTAATCGATTTAATTTTGCACATGAATTTGGAAGATCAGTTAATTGATTCATATTTAAGGACAAAATTTCTAAGTTAGTCAAATTACCTAAATTGCTTGGAATTCGTTGTATTTGATTTTCACAAGCCCATAATTTTTTCAAGTTACATAATTCACAGATTACATTTGGGAGAGAAACAAAATTATTATTATTTAAATTTAAATATGTTAATCCTTTTAGCATATTTAGGTAGTTTGGTAAATCATGAAGTTGACTGTTGCACAAGTTGAGATCAACCAGTTTTGATAGATGTTCATTAAATCCATTAGAAAAATAGTGTTGTTGATTTCTTGATAAAAATAAATTTTCAATGATTTGTTTTTCTGTCATATTTGTAATTTGTTTGTTATTTTCTTTTGCTAATAATGGATTCAAATCATTTTCACAAGAAGTATCGTTTGATGCAACATTTAATATCATTTTGTCATTTGGCAAACTTATCATACTGGAGTTTTGTGTCATATCTAATAAACAATTTAAAAGTTTTGGTATGATTAGAATATTTTATAATATAGGTATCAGGATTTATATATCCAAAAGAATGTACCGTGTCTGAGAGAAAAAATAGCACATCTCAAACATTGGCATATTTTAAAATAACAAGTATCTCATCCAAGGTATTTTATTCTCTCTGTTAATTTTGTAAAATGTATAAAATTATATATAAATTATGCTATTTTTTTATCAGGCATTATGTAACAATAGGTAAATATCTTCTTGCAATTTAATTTTAAATATAAATTTAATATGAATTTCATCATGAAAAAATATAAACAGAAAGAACAAAAGTTTTAACATAATAAGATAGAATATAGGATAAGAAACAAATTTTCGTTTTTTTCAATACAAATATAACCTAATAGGAAATAACATTTGTAATTAATTTCGTTATATATAAACACAAACCTTAATAGTTTATACTGTCGTGTAAATATATTTAAAGTATTTCAATAATACTTAACAAATTAAAAAATTATTGTCGATAAATACAAAATCTCAAAAGTTTTTCGAAGAAATATTAGGTTAGGAACTTGAGAAAATTAACAGGAACACGAGGCGTCTTTTCTACTAGCATAAATTTCACCTCACAGAGGTTGCTTAGAAAATTTTATTTAAAATTGGTAAACAATAATTTTAATTATTTTAAATAAAATTTTATCTAAATTTGTAAAGCAGGAAGCTTGATAAATGAAATGTTGACTTCGGATATAATTAAGGAAGATATTCAAGGCGTGATTTTAAATGTCCAAACCAAAGATAACGTGCAATACTGATTTAATTTTTAATTTCTGAAAAAAAGAGGCCTCAAAATAATAAGACATTTTTTTACGTAAAACAGGGCTTGCAGAGGCCAGCTCATTTTATTTAGGAGGCTTATATTTCTGTTTTGTACACAAATGTATACGTATATGTATATTTAAAGCGCTGTATACAATCTTTAGAACGTCGTCAAAGTTTTCTATGTAATATATCTTGTCGTTACATTTCATTTCACATATTAATGATGAGATTTACATGTTCGTTTCAAACAAAATCGACGCTCAAAGCTACGAATTCTCTTTTCGTGAGTTACTTTCAAATTTCCTCGAGCTTCTTCCATTCGATTTCGGAGTAAATTTTTCCTCTGTACACTTCATGAAGAGTTCCATTGAAACTATACAACATTAAGATGAATACATGCCGTAGAAAATTGCACCCTGTTATTTTCAGAAATTAAGTACCTTAGTAACATCAGCGAACGAGACTGATTCGCTATAAAAGTTCGTTTCCATACCGTTTTACATCGTAAATGATATGAGGCGAGTGTCTTATGCGTGTTGAAATGTTAGATGAATAGTGGCTGTTCGAATCGAGGGACAATATCGATTAAAATATCTCTTCTTTTTCCCTTCCGGAAGTTCTTCGAGTTCTAAGATGCCGATTACGGTATACCCTATTGTATAACAAATTCGATCAACGTATTCTTCTGCTCGTGTTCGCAAATTTCTTTTTCCCCCGTTCGTCTATGTACGTACGCTAGTAAAATTCTGTAACTCCTTATCAGACCTGAACAAAATAGCATTCGTAATAGAAACGGGAAGAGATGTCGGTCGATTCGTCCAGCAGTTACGATTAATTTTGGGAGAGGACGTACGTTGTCTTATTTAATAAAGTGTAAGTATCTATTTAGCGAATACGTGTCTCTTGGTCTAAACTAGATATAAGCTAGGCCTGAAGCCGGCCTAAGATTACGGTGTTTATTTAAACGGCAAAGATTCGAGAAGGTTGCAGATGTGTTCCGCGAATATGCTGACTGTTAAGAGGGTGTATGTGGTGTATGTGAAAGTGTATGTCGGTAGGCTCGCCCTTATGGCAGATGTGACTTTGGTGACGAGGTCCGCAAGGTACGACGTCACGGTGACTCGAGAGGGGGTAAAGAGGATATAAAAGGACCGCGGAAGGCAGTCGAGGTGATTTTTGTTGATTTCGGTGATCTGTGTGACTTTGCAATAGTGAACGAGTGGTCTGGGTGGAAAAGGGACGACGGAATACGAAGACGCACATGGAGGCTGTAGCATTTGAATAGAGAGGTACCCTGGACCCAGAGATCCTGGACACAGAGACCCTAGTGACTATTAAGGACAGTGGTAAGTACTAGCGATACACTGCATGTCTATCACACAGTTCGATTAGTGAGATGATTGCGTCCATTAAATTCCTCGTTAGTAGTTCGTGTAAGAATTCTACTTTGTTGGATCTAGCCAGGCGTATTTACTAGGAATGCGAATCCGAAAAACAAATAGGGAATCGATATGATCTCAAAACCATAGGGAAATTCTTAATTGGCTGGGATAAATCCAATATTAAACGTAGTCTCGAGTGAGCTTGGTTTGCGGGCATACCGAAGGGTAGTGTGAAAAACACGGACGCCCGATATCGGTATTTGCTGCGTTTAGGCGAGTGTTATGCGTCCTGTGGCTCACGGCTAGAGGTCAGTCAGTAAGAGAAAACATAAAGTCCAGGTGGTGAGTTAATCTAAAGCGAAGAACTACAGTTGAAATGGATGGTTACGTGTCTCGTGAAGGCTTTAAGATGTAACAGTTGCATAAGGTTATGAGGCTTCGCGGATCTGATTATCGGTTATGGGAGTATGCTGAGTTTCTGGGTTAATAATTTAGGATAGGGAGCATTAAATATTATATCGCTAATAGCGAGTACGAAGTAGAATATCGGATATTGCATTTAGGATTAATTAACATAGATAATAGCCTTAGAGTAGTCTTTACCACTAGCTCCAATTATACTGATAAGGACAATATCAAGGATGGGAGGTGCTGAGAGCTAATAACGAATGATTTGTTGTTGCACTGATTACAAAGAGTTTCAAAAAGAGATAATGTGGGAAGAAAATTTAAGGACTTGGAATTCTGCAGCCATGCTTATGGCAGGATGCTCATAGTAGATGATATTAAGTGTTCAGGTACTGAGCTTTTTAATACAGAAATCAGATGTTAAGGTTTGCCCAGTGTTAGACATATTGAGTGTAATGAGAGTATCTGCGGAATACATTCGCGACCTTCTCAAAATTTCATTTAAATGAAGTGGCCATCATAAACCTAGGCCGTCTTCAGGTTTCCCTTTAGGCCAAGAGACATGCATTCGCTAAATGAATTCTTACAAAGAGGTCTTCTACTAATATGGGTCAGGAATTTTTATGTTCACGGTAAAGCTAGCGAAATTATTTAGAAATTATATGAAATGATATACATTTGCGTCGTTAATCGTCGACAATGGTTATAAATATGGTTGTTGAACACTAATTATTAATCGACTAACAAAAATGACTAAATTAATATAAATAAAGAATCGTCGAAAAATAAAATTGTGTCTCGCGTGAAAAGTGGCTCCAAAAGGGCCTTCTCCTAGCTACGTCAGTGAACTATCGCGCTTCAAATTCCTTTTTTCCGTCTTGTAATTCCGTTTACAACTGCTCGGTTAGTAATTTGCAAAAATTGTGTACCACGTGGTCCTGAAATAATACGAGAAAGTCCTTTTCGACCCGGATCAGTAGAAGACCATAATGGCCGACGAGTGGTTCGGCTGCTGAACGAAAAGATGGAGGCAATGTGGTTATTGTGCGCGTGGATTTCTATCGCGAATGCTATTTTCACTCAGGTCCGTTGATTGTTAGCGATAAATAATATCATGATCCGTCCTCATCATGAAAGAAAGGGTACGCAGTGGTGCGTCGATCGACTCGAAATGACAAGAATTGTACTAACGTGACATTAAACTATAGCGATAAAATATTAATAATATTAATAATAATATTAATAATAATAATTAATAATAATAATACAAATCGTAGAATAATCATAGCGATAACAATAATATGGTGCGCGATACAAACTAATATGTGGCATAGGAATATGTTTCTCTTGAAATATGCAATTCTGATCGTGAGTATGAAAGTGTAATGGATGGTAAATGTGTATCACCGTTAGCTTCGATCGTTATATTCATTCGAAAGAGTACGATAACGTTTAAGAACCATGAGATATATGGCGTGGAACTTCGTCGTATCTTCTAGTGTTTATGTTAAATTCGGTTTTCAAGATTGCACGAATGGTTGTTCTCCCGTTGTTTTCCCAACGAACGCGAACGCAAGAAAAGAAAGGGGTTAGAGGAGGAGTTAGCAACGAATACGTTATCCTAATGAAAACGAGATATCAATCCCTAAACGCTTTTAACGCCGCGATAATTTAGTATCGTTTCTTACACGCGAAAGGAAGTTCCCGCATTTGAGACTCATCATCGTAAGACAATACATTTCCGTTTCTCGCGTCGTTCGTGTCTATTATTTAATCGTATGCTTATGTACGTGTGCGCAAACAAACACTCTCGCCGCACACACGTGTCTCTGCGTGCTCGTGCATTACATCCGGATTAAGCGTACACACTCGATTATTTCTCAGATATCGCGGATACGAGGAGCTTATTCGTACCGAGTTTCCATTTTATGAAAATATTACCGTGAATATTCTTTCCTCGTTTTTTCCTTCTTTCCTTTTCTCTCGTGATTATTAGCTGCCACCGATGGACGCGACGAATCCGATTGAGTTTTCAGTGTAGAACAGTGATTCCGAGTCATTGATCCGTAAGATAGTCTCGCGCGAAGTTCTATGCTACGCAATTTAGGCAGAGTAATAAATAAAGATCACTATTCTAAGCTGAAAAGCATTAATTCATCGTTCGCGAAACCGCAAGGAAAATATTTACGAACGATTTCGGCTATTCGAAAAGTAAACTTAGCTTAAGCTGATTTATGAATTCGGATCGAGTTCGTAGAGATTCTTTCTCCCTGAGTCTAATAGCAAAGAAAATTTCGACATAATTTATCTCTTCTGGATAAATAATAATGGCAGAATGAAGTACAAAAATAACGCAGTTGCATGTACATACGTGTTATTTTTGAATATCGTAGAAAAATAACTAATTATTCGTCGACTATTTTTCACTGTGATTTTTCATTTAAATTTAATATTTATTAAAATTTAAAATGGCTGCATTTCACGTTACGATAAAAATGCAGAAAGTTGTCAAACAAAAGAAAAAAAAAAAAAAAAATAAAGTCCGTTTTAAACATTCAGAACGGATATTTAAAAAATAATTCAATTCTCTTTCTCTGTATCTAGAAAGTAGAATTTAAATCGAACTCTGTTGTGCATATAGTAGGCTAAGAAATAGTTGATCGTGTACTTTTGAATCGGATGTAATGTACGTAATATGTACTCCGTTACGTTCGTATATCTACATATGCATATATTGTTTCTTACGTTCTCTTTCTTTCGACGATACGTGTGTACACGCACAACCGCTGTGGGTGTACACACACGATTGCACACAAACACGTATGCAGAATATGGTCACTTATAAAACTCTTTCTTTAGAAAATATATTTCTATATATATATATATGTATGTATTATAGATAATTCTGCGTATGTGTGTACATATACATAATATATACTACATAGAAACATAACTGAAGTATATATACACTCTTTTTCTGTATACTTATTCGCATTTTATGGTACTTAGTCGTGCGTATGCTCGTAAATCCCCAGTAATTCAGGACAAACGATGAATATTATTGCGTAACGTGTGCAATTATTTCCGCGATAACTAAATGCGTGAGAAAAAAAAGGGGAAAAAAGGAAATAAAAAGGCAAAGAAAAAATGTGTATATGAAAATCGTCGAAGTACACGAACAGATACAACATTTCACACGAAATATGTAAATTAATACGAAACTAATTCTGTCATTCTTTTTTTTCAATGTTCTACCCGTGTATCGGATAAAAAACGGTGCAACAGCGTTAATTACCAAGGATTCGACGTGCATATCACTTTTTGCCTTAAACGGTAATCGTATAGTACGACAAACAGCTGGAAGCTTTACACGCTAATGCAACATTCGCTTGTATTTAGATTTCGATGGAGGCGATATCAACTTTCTATAGCTTTCTTTCCTCTATCCGTCGTTTAGGTATCGCAGTACCAACGAAAGATATCGTAACAATTAGAGTAGCTCGTCCCCTCTTTTCTTCATCTTTTCCCATTTTCCACAACACGCCAGGAGAGCTAAGTTTCGCAGAAAGTTAACGAAGAAGTATTCGCGAAACTTTCGAGTTGAAGACTAATAAAAGGAAGACGATTCGACGGTTTTAACGGTAAAAAAAAAAGTGGAATTTCGATCCGATACTGCTACGAGTTTCTAATATATTCAGGCCATTCGAAACATCACGAATTTACGTAGCTAGAACCGACAGAGACTTCTGGACATATATGGCTCGATATATGTATGCTTTCATACGAAATAGCGTAAACGTTTCACTAGAATCGTGTACCCAATCTCATCGTAGATTCAAGTACGTGTACAGCTAGCTTTTCTTGAACCTTCGACGAACCTAACCGCGACATCGACGAATCGTCGAAGCCATTTTAACGTTAAACCTACCACGATCAGTGGAATGATCCATGGATGATCTAAATGATCTAAAACTAGAGCAGAATCCTCGTCCTTTGCGATCCAAGTCGCGTTTAACATTCTATTCCAACATTTTTCAAATCGATGACGCATCAACGTCGCCATAACTTTTCTCGGATTAAATTAAAACGCGAGGGACCATTGTTGTGGCTGTCAGGCCCAACTGGACGCATCGCAAAGGATCGAAGAAATAAACGAAACAAGAAAAGATAAAGATTATACGTGTACTCGAAGAGGAATAACGTTGGCCGCGAAATTTTGAAAGAGAAGTTGGAAAACGAGGATTTACGTCGTGGTAGGTTTAACGTTAATACGAAAACGCAGCTTCCAGAACTTTCTAGCAGCTAGCAAAAGTCCTGGCCGCGGCCGTGGACTGTCTATAAAATTTCTAATTCCTTTTCTTTATTTTCTTCTCGATAGAAACGCTGTTCCCAGCGCAAGGCAAGTATCACAATTTTCAGACGTACGCGTAACATCCGGATTCTCGTTAAATTCGTTCACCTCCGGTAATTTTACTTTCACTTGGTCGGAAACCCGTTCGTTAACTGGAAACGCAGAGAATTCAGCTATGCCCGATGATCGCTTTACGCGCAATCGAACAGTAATCACGCGAAAAGAAGTCGGAAAGGAAGCGATTGTTCACGCTCGAGTCGGAAAAAGTGAAAAGTTGTGCCGGGTAAACGCGGGTTAGGGTTTTGGGGGTGGAAAAGGAGGAGGAAAGGGGAGAAGGAGAAATGGAGGAATGACCCCGCGAGTTTAAGGCGAGAGACGAAGAAGAAAAATCGTACGCGACTAGTTTCGTGCATCGACCGTGAACAATGTACCGATTAAATGCATCGCCTACTCTTTTACCGAAGAGAGAAGTTCAGAGAGCTCGCGGAATCGATCGTACGAAGCTAGTCGATGAGTTAATCTCGCTTCTCAGCGAGATCTGGTAACTTAAGTCGATGTCTCTGGTCCCCCGTTCTCGAGATAATACAGTAAATTATTATATTATCACATTCGCGATTAACGTGCATCGCGTTAATCACCAACGTGCTAATACACACGTATATATTAATATATAGATATATATAATATGTATATGTCTAAGGTACGCGTTATTCCTCGAAGTCCGTGTCTTCGGATATACTTACGCCCGCTCCTTATTACTCGATCGAAACATTAAACGGAGCTTCTTGCTTCTTCGTCTATCATCTCCGATATTCTTCCAAACCATTCGCCACACTCTTACTGCCACTGACCTAACCTTTCCCTCTGTCTTATATATTTTCGTTCTATCTACTCGCGCAGCGGCAGTAACAGCGAACTTCGATGGACAATTTCTAAGCTCAGTGTTCCGTTTGATGCTTAAACCGCGTTGAACGAACCGGATTATCCTTTGCAGCGATCACTTGCACATTTTTCATTCGTAGTTGCCCCGCAGCGTCGTTTCGACGGCCACTTCCGGCCTGACAAACGTCCTCGGTTCCAACTTGCACACCGTAGACGATTACCACAAAGAAACAAAAAGAGGAAATGTTTTTAGCACGGTGTCGCGCGCGGGACGATGTGCAAAACGAGGTTTCTAATACGAAATTCTATCACAGTTTCTCACACTTGTTTTACTTATTTTTTTTTTCCTTGTTTTCCGTTTGTCTCATCGAGTCGCACTCTGATCGTTTACCGTCGTCGATGCGATCCGATCTTACGGCGTCGACCTCGAGATCCTTCAAAATTCCAGCCAACCAATCTACAGCACCTTCCACTCGAATCATCCTCCATTTTGAACACGATTCGAGTCCGCTCGAGCAACCGGGCCAACTTCGCGCAGCTCGCGAAACAGGCTCCTCTCCCCTTCGATCCGTTTCGATCGCTTCGAATCGACTGAACCACCTCGACGTCGTCGACCTTTACTTGTATCTCTCGTTTCTGTTCGAATACCTTTGGCACGTGACTAATACATTGGAAACGGGCACAACGATGGTACGGATTCGCGATGGTACGATCGACGAGTGTGCAGCGTCAGCCACTTTACATCGGCGTCGCCTGTAATCGAAAGATCGAGGTGTTTCAAGGTAACCGGCCGATGTCACCGGAGAAAAGGTTAAGAAAAAGAAGAAGAAAAAGGAGAGAAATAATCGCGACAGAGAGGAGAGAAAAAAGAAAGAGGGAGGGGAGAATTCTCTGGCCGGGACTGGCCGTGAAGTCAGTCTTTTTTTCTTTCTCTGTCAACCTCGCACCTTGTTGGCCTTCGAAAGATCTCCAGAGGTCGACCTTGGACGGATCATTTCGTAAAAGCCGAATTGCATCTTCTTCGATAAATCACGAGTTGGCTATTTAACGACCGTTTCGACGACGAGTCTCTCTTAGCTCACTCGTTCCCCCGCTATCTTCAGGTTCGACGAAGCTTCGTCTCTTCTTTCTTCCTTCTCGCACTCCCGTTCTCTCTCTTCTTCCCCGTTTGTTTGTTCCACGAAGTTCGATCCGTGGCCGATTCTTCCGTTTTCGATTCTGGATCTCGTTTTCCTCCGATGGACGCCTCTCGCCAGCGTCTCTCTTCGTCGAACCGGGGATCTGGCGAACGAGGATCGATCAGTTTCGGACGCGATTAGACCAGCTACGGTATCCTGCGTTCTAGATCTTCGTGAAGCAGACTATTGTTGTTGGTTTCGTGCATCGATGCCGGTGATGCCTCTTCCGGTTGTTCACCGCCACTTAATTCTAATTGGCCTGTGCTGTCACCGCTGCTGGAGCCACACTCGCCGTCGACGAATCTGAAATTCAATTGTCTCGTGTTATTTTAATTGCCCTGTTTTCGTCGCATGCCTCTTACTTGTCGCAGGATCCCGGCAGATAGCGTGCCGTTCGATCGAAATTTAATTACCGGCATACACAGCCGTGTTATAAATTTAGTTACCGCGACGTTCGAGTCGATCGAGGTTCCTTTGCTAATTATTTTCGCGGATTTTATAACAGTGACAGGGATTTTACCGTCGTTCCCGAAGTCACTCGACTTGTCACGGTGTATGTACATAGTATAATCGTGGTATTTGGTTATGAGGTGATTAAGAGGTTATGGTTGTCGATATTCGATTAGACGTCGGGCAAAGTGTTTGGTATTTAACGTCGCGATGCCTTTGGCGAACGGAAACACCGGATGATTTATCGCGAGGTATAAATGATCCGAGTGGGCGATCCTATATTGATATTTCGAGTAGTGCATGAATAGAGACAGCCGGTTAGTTTGGTTTTTATTTTACGAGGAAACGATTTAAATGTAATGGCTCGTTTAAATGCCGCGTGCACGCACATAATTGCAATTTTTGCGTTCAATCGTGCGAGATATAAAGTTCACGGTCTTTTGCTTTCCAGGCGAATATCGTACACGCAGCGCGAATTATCGGAAATGTAAAATGTTCGAGTAGTTTATTTGCTTGTTGGAGATATAGGGAAATATTGCATGCGACGTTAAATGATTTCATGGGGTTAACGAGATGCAAACGTTGTTTGTTAAAATGTCTATCTTTCCCAAGTTAATTACGATCTTCGGCATTTCGTTACCGATGAAATTGCACCTACTTCTCTGTGAAGAAGAAAAATTCGACATTTATAACAATTGATGCTTTATTTAGTCCTCAGAGAGAAAAAAGGAAAGAGACGATACTACAAATAGCTAATAAAAATGTAGGAAGGCAAATAAAAGGAAGGAAAATAAAAATTCCTATAAAATATATATTTCCAATTAAAATGCGACACTCTATAGCTTGTAAAGTTATTCAAATTTTATCACAAACATTTATTCGTATGTCTCTAACGTTAAAGCAGATAATTACGCGTTTTCTTGCACGGTCCAGCAAACCTCGCAGCATCCGAAGTGATTACTTACAATAAAATTTCCTCCGGTGTTTCAGCACAGTGATTAACAGATTCGGCAGTAATTATATTAAATCGCGTTAAATTCTATTAAATTAGACGAAATTAGATTTAATTGGATTAAATTGGACGCCGTGTTACTCCCCTGGAAATGATTTCCAACGAGTCTCGTTGGCTCGACATTGAGAACATTTATTTATCCTCGCGAGGTGGGATATTTTTACACCGTGCTACACGAATGTTATTTACATATTACGATACGACACCGTTTCAAACGTAATGAATCACGGTGCAACTAATTACCTTGGACTCGCGACGTTCGCACGGAAGAAAGAGAAAACGGAAAACTCAAACGCGAAAAAGAGCATCGCTATCTTTCGTTTCCTTAGTCAATGTACCGTTGATGAGTCTTGTTTTCGCGATGAAGACAGGCTGTTGGCTCTGCTCCAATCATCCAGAGATAAATCGAATTGCCCCGATTTATCTCGTCAACCGAGAACTTTCAAATTTCTCTTAATTAATTCTCTCTTATGGCCAGTTTTCCATTTCGCGTTACGCCGCAAACGTTCCTTCCATTATCGAAACACCATACCAAATACCAAAGACACGACTCGCAATTTACGATTAGCTAAATGCCGCTATACTTCTTTCCCTCGATCATGTTTCAAATCGCGAAGCTTAGTCTGCACGTGTCAGCCGACCGACTTTCGATATCGTTCGATATTTGCCGACGTTGCATTTTAACCTCAACGACTATGATGCAATTAGGCTTACAGAATGCCATTATCTCGCGCGTTATCTTCAAACGTTATCTTATAATTTCGACGCTCACGCGATTTTTCCATTGCAGGTTCTCCGATCGAGGGATGTTCGCGCCTGGCATCGATCCTTTGGCCATGGATCCTGACATCGACCCGCACTCGAGGGGAGGAAGGACAGGATGGCGAAGGGTGAGTAAGATTTTTGAAAAAAGAAATTGTATTTTTGATATTTTCGTCGAAATTCGCGAGATGGACGAACGCTGGATGCAAAAGGTTTCTCGAAGTCGAAAATTAAGCGAAACGTTAATCGAAGTTAGTTTACTCGGGCAGCAAGAAAGATAATACCGGCGAGAGAAGTATTCCGACAGTGGATAAAGCAAAGGTCGCCGATAAAATGCTGCCTTCACTTTCGAATGTCGATTCGATATCGGCGAACGTTAACGTTAATAAATAATAACGAATAATATTCCATTTTATCTCGAACGCGGTCGATTAACGCATGTACGACACGGAACGTCCGAACGCGATAAAATACGAATTAAGATGGCAAACGAAGACATCCCGATCGCGCCATTTAGGGTTCGGCGAACGCAATCGAACGCCGTGAAACGCGAGATTCGCGGCTGCAAACCGTCGTACGATCGGAATAGAAATGTTCGCCTAATTTGCTTGGCATGCACACCTTCCATCGGCGTATTAACAACCATTGCTTGCCGTTAGTTTTACAATTAGAAAATAACGTCACGGCACTGGTTATGTGCAGTCCATGAAAGAAAGCCGGGGTTCATCTAACGACTATGAGAATTTTACCAAATTTTTACTCCCGTATGAAAATCGAGGTTTTCCGAATTTACGCGTACATTCGTGTAGAAATTCACGCGAAAAGGTCTTCATACGTATTATTCGTTATGGTGCGTTTGCAATGCAGTTTCTAATATATTTAAAATTTTTAATATTTATCTCGCTCCGTTGTGAAGGTATCTTTAATGGTTCCGATATTTTCAGATTCTAAAAATAAATTCGTGGAATTTTTATGAGAAGCTAATCAGAATTAATTTTTATTTTGGTTACTCGTTACGATAAAATCGTTTGCCCTGTGTTAAATCGCTTCTGCGATCTTTGAATCCGTATTTTTCGTTACGTTCTTATCGTTTCACGTATCGTATGTAGAATTTGAGAAAAGTAACAGGGTTTATAGATTTTTGAAGGACAGTAGTATTCGATCTTACGAAAATTTCGTTTTAGTTCCTATCTTCGTATACTTCAATTTTCTTTCGATAACGATCGTACGTTGATTAAATGACACGTTGATAACATCGAAATCTAGCACTTGTCTCGGAGACATTAAAAATGGAGACATTTAAATTCGTCTAAATAGGTGAAACGATTATTTTTATTTCATCGGCTGTTTTATCGAGAAAATAACGTCACACCGAGTTACACGCGTTTTATTCGCTTTCATACTGGTTTTTGACACGTCTTCGACAGTCACGCGATCTTTTCTGACACTTCGTACCGTTGTGTGCCATTTTTTCGATTAATGGAATAGAACGATAGGCAAGAAAGGCGCGAGATATTTGGAAATATGCAAGTATGCGGGTGCAACGGACGAGAAAGCATCGAGGCGTTGAAAGAACGGTGAAAATGAGGGAAAAGCGGTGTATCTTTGACCGTTTAATGCCAATCGGACATTGTACTCTAACTCGGTTATGTCGACGTGTACGACATTCGAAACGCCTGTTGCAAAAGCCCCACGGCTCGTGGAATAATCGAACGAAATTCGCGAATATTTAAATCGCCCATTTGCGGTACGTTTTCGAGTAATCGGAGTGGCTTGTCACGAGGTGACAAATTCATCGGGCGAGGTGAAAAGAAAATATCGTGGAAAGATATCTCAACGACTGTCCTACTTTTCCCGCGCGTAAAAACGCGTGTTAAAACCGAACGCGAAGACTACGACGTTGCAAGTGTCGCTTTAAAATACGAAATTTGAATATCTGTACAGGTATTATCTTTATGGACGAATTACTTTTATCGCCGATTACAAAGAGCATTGAGGTAAAAGAGAAATTGCACGGTGTTCTCGATTGTCAATCACGTGTCACTAATTCGTCGCAGAAACTCCACTATTCTCTCTTATTGGTTATCGAAACTCTCTATCTTTGTCCTTTCCAATTTTATCTCCTTCCACGGTTACGTGCACCTTTGTCCCGCCCGTTTCGATTTTTCCCTATTTTCTTTTGTTTTCCTTTCGTTAAACAAACCCACGTACGGATTGATAAAGCTACTTACGTGTACGGTTGCTCCTCGCCACGCATTTCACATATGACGTTTGTCAGGGCCATTATGTAATTCTTGGCCAACGTAAGTGTCTCTATTTTGCTGAGTTTCCTTTCCATTTTTACGTGTGGTATCACCTCGCGCAGTTGCTGAAAATGATAACATTGTTGTCGATAAATTCGACATTTCAATTACATCGTACGTGTCATAGAAGCCGTAGTTATATACAGAATTTTATTAAAGAAAAAAAATGAAAAAAAAAGAAGAAAGAGGGAAAGAAAAATGGCACGAATGGGAAATTTGATGAATTTAAAAATTGTGAATCCGCTTCTACGTTTTCGTTTTTATTCCCGTATCCTCGAGGTTTCCTATTTTTCTTCGCAAATTTGAATTTACCGCCGCGGGAATAGGTGACACTCGCCTAAGGCGAAGCAACGAGCCACCACGTGAACTTTACAACTTCGAATTCCCTTATTTCACAACCCTCCGCGTCTTCACCCTCGAATAAGATCTCAAGCACTACCCGGATCGCCCACGCTCCTCTCAGATCCGGCACTGGCAACGTCTACACGATGTTACGTTTCTATTATTGCTCTGAAACGGAGTACTGCGCGAAATACGGCGAAAAGAGCCACTGGGTGTATGAAATACCGAGATCGTGCTAGGACGTAGCCCTCGCACGGATAAAGTTACGACGTCGGGACACCTTTAGCTCGAAAAATGGGATTTGGTATCGACGTGGGTAATGGTAGAGTAGTGGGCTGAAAATGGAAGATCAGGAATCGGAGATGTTATAACTGGACGAAGTTACGAGAGAACGTGGAGCCTTCGAGGGAACAGAATGTGACATGGAACGAAAAATCGAATCGGATGTGTAGAAAACAAGTTCTTTAACAAGCGTGACGTAACTTTGAACTTTGAGATCGTACTATTATATTCTGAAGCTAAATGAACTGTGTAATTGCCAATTTTCGATATTTTGTTTAAAAATATAGACTAAGACGTGTCAGGAGGAGCTTCGAATCATATATCTGAAAAATGGCGTTTAGCTTTTGAAATCGAGAGATTAATTTTTCAAGATAAAGCTTCATCGTCTGTTTGAAAACGTAGATTCAAGTATGTCGAAGGAAGCTTCAAATTAAATTCATAGAAAATGGCTACTTTGTGGAATGTAATATATGTTCAGACTCTGAGATCTTGTAATTAAATTCTGGAAGTAAGGGAGCTATGTCATCGCCGATTTTCAATATTATGTTTAAAAATATAGACTAAGACATGTCAAGGAAAGCTTAGAAATGTGGTATAGGTTTGAAAATTGAGCGATTAATTTTCCAAAGTGAAAATTCATCATCCGTTTAAAAACGTAAGTTCAAGTATGTAGGAGGAAGCTTCGAATCGAATACATAGAAAATGGCTACTTTGTCGAATATGATATATGTTCAGACTCTGAGATCTTGTAATTAAATTCTGGAAGTAATTGAGCTGTGTCGTCGTCAATTTTTAATATTTTGTTTAAAAATATAGACTAAGATATGTCAGGGGAAGCCTCGAATCGAATATGTGAGAATTTAGGTTCTGAAATTGAGCGATTAATTTTTCAAGCTAAAATTCCATCTGTTTGAAAACGTAGGTTAAAGTATGTCGAAGGAAACTTCAAATCAAATCATAGAAAATGGCTACTTTGTTGAATGTAATATATCTTCAGACTTTGAGATCTTGTAATTCAATTTAGAAGGCAAGTGACCTCTGTTGTCGCCAATTTTTAATATTTTGTTTAAAAATATAGACTAAGACATGTCAGGGGAAGCTCAGAAATGTGTTATAGGTTTGAAAATCGAGCGATTAATTTTTCAAGCTAAAACTCCATCGTCTGTTGGACAATATAGGTTCAAGTATATCGTAAGAAGCTTCGAATGGAATATATAGAAAATCGCTAATGAGACGACTTTGAGATCTTAAGATTAATTCTTGAGGCTAACCGAACTGTTTTCATGGTCGATTTTCAGTGTTCTGTTTTGAGACGTAGATCGAAGTATGCGATGGAAAGCTGGTCGTGGATCGTAGGTATTTTGTAACGCGTGGAAAATTACCTCGAAAGCGTCATTTAGGGAATGCATTCTCATTCTTTCTCTCTCGTTGCTCTCGAGCCTCCTGAGGTTCCTTTCCCGCGCAGAAATTCCACTTTTTCGTCTCCTCGTCGTCGGTGGTCCTCCACGATTTCTTCTTTTCGCCTGCTTCGGACTCCTCTCGCTGCCACTGCTGTCGCTCTCCTCACCCACCTTTTTAATCGTTTCAAAAACACCCATTAACTTCCTTAACTTCGCTAGCTATCCCACTCGTATCATTCTCCAATTATTTCGCTAACCTCTCCTTTCTCGCGCCATTCCCGTATTACGAAAGAGCTACTTCGCGACCGGAAATGAATACCCCAAGAAAACAAATAAAAAAAAAAGAAAAGAAAATAGAAGAGATAAAATAAATGCAAGGAAGATCGTGAAGCATTTGCTGAATTTCTACGCGTCGATAGATGGGAAAAAGATTTGCGCGAAAAACTAACTTTATCAGGGATATTCGATGACCTTTGTTCAGTTTTAATAACCGATACTGGTTACAATGACGATTAACTCTTTGCGGCACGGGATTTCAGATTATAAAATAGACCCATGTTGCATAGAAATTTTATTGCGTTTTAAATGAAATATTTCTATAAAAATTAACTTACTTTCACGATTTTTCACATAAAACCAGGAAAAAAAGATTGTCAGGATAAACGTTCCACTTGCAACAATTGATGAACCAGTACTGGCGTGTTAAATGTTGCCAACACGAGCGAATGCATTTATAATATTCATCGAAGGTATTACCAACTGCTTTACGTAAATAAGGCGAAATATAAACATATGCGCATGCAGCTATTGCGATATTTCGAGGTGGGATTAAAAGTGTCCCACCTTTTCGATGCATCGTAATGCATAGTGGGACACTTTTAATCCCAGCGTGCCCCAAAGAGTTAAAGAAGCCTTATTCGCCTGTGACGTGGATGCGATTTTCTCGAGATACATCAAAGACGAAACTTCGTCCATCTTAGCGCTTCATCGACGTATTTTCATTATGTACTTAATAATCGTGCAATTACGTAACGAACTGTATTCTAATATTCGCTGAAAACTCGAGTTTGTCGTAACGTAACAGATAAGATTAAGATTGCCACGATATCTATATAATTCTATTTACTGCTACACACAGGCTTGTCGCCTGTCAGGATAATCAGATTCCTTGTCAGAGTACTCTGTCTCGAAAAAGTCGATACGCCCACTGGTAACGTCTCCGGGGAACAGAGCGATCGACTTTAAAGTTTGCGTTTCATTTGCAAGTTAATCTAGTCTTATTCCTGCTCGCGACCGGTACTTACGCGGACACTTTAATTCGTATATCAATCGCGTTAATTAAATTGAAACTATGACAATCATTGTCCCCGACCGATCGAACGGAGATAACGCGGTTGCTTCACCGATTCGTGGAAGGACTGACCGTGGAAGCGAAATGATCGGTAAGCCGCGACGGATCTCGTCGGACATATTGAATGTCAATAAATGGCAACCAGAAGGAAAAGAATATTTTTAATTTCAGATTTCACTTGAATGTTACTCTAAATATATTTCGCATCGTTATCTCCGTACATGTTTTACGTTTTTACGAGCTCTGCTTAAAATAATCACGTAAACTGTCCGGGACATTTACGAATTCGAATGGCGATAACTTTATCTTCGTATTTTCTTTCATACGTAAACCTCACATGCCGCGGAGTGATTACGGTTCAACGTTGCATATGAAACACATGCACCGCTTTAATGGTATTAATAATTGATACCTTCGGTCTCGCTCAGATATCGACCGTTGTTATTATTGACGAGAAACCCGCTCATCTTTATGAATGAGTTTTCCAGCATCGAATAAAGTAAATCGCACGAATTTGTCAATTAGTCTCGAATGCTCTGTACGTTCGTGCCGGTGCACGATATTTGCCGATCGTAATCGAGATATTCGTCCAATCTTCGACAGGTAGATCGGCACACGCCGATAAAGCTTGCTCAACATGAATTTACAAACAATGCTACAGCAACGTGTCACAGTACGGGAAAATGATAGCACATCCCACAATTTTTAGCATTTCTATATATTACGCAGCCATACAATGCGTCACTTTAATAACACGAGTAGGCTTACGAATAATTATGATAATTCAAAAAATCGATAATCGACGGTTTAATATTTTTCGTGTGGCGTATTAAAGAGGTAATTAACCGGTTACCAAATATCAATAACCGATATAATAAATCTGGTCAAATCGGTTGACGTTAATCCGGCTAACTATACAAGCTTAGGTAAATAATATATTTGTTCAAAGGAAAATTATATATTTGTTCCATATTTATGAATATATTCCAAAGATATTAATTTTTTTCAGTATTTTTATCGACCGTATAGTATAATAATTTTGGTAAAATGAAGTTTGATTTATACGAAATATTTTTCTGTACCGAGATATATCGTTTGCAAATTATTGGAGAAACACTTGAAATCATAAGCTGTGCTATCATTTTGTCCCGTGCTGTACAACTCCGTTCTTATACATCGCTAAACATCGATATGACTTCGTCATCGTCCATCCACGTGTTTACTTGTACGATTTTTCCTCCATGTTATTAAATCACACATCCACGTAGCAGCAGTAAGCAACGAGTATAACAGACCGTTTCACTCTTAAGTAGAATTTAATTCATCCGGTCTCGAAGCGCGTTTTATCAGCGTGTCGGACTTAATTACGACGAAAATAGAAGGAAAGCCCTTACCTCCGCGCCAACGACATGATGGCGACTGCGTTTTCCGGTAAGCGAGTCGACGGAAGCGTCGTCCAGGTCGATATACATCTCCTGATCGCAGTCTTGATCGCTACCCGATAACCTCTCCAGGCTTCGCATTATCCCGAGGAAAGTTATGCTTTGGACCCCCTGCAATCGCACACGGTTGCAACATTAATCTTCGTCGGGTGCTTGAAAAATATTTAAATACCGCTAATTTCTCAATGAATCATTCATCAGCGATATTCAGCCGTTCATCGTGACTAGTGATTCAGACGTCCGGTTCTTCGTCGCGTTCCGTTACTTTTCGTAGAAAGTGTTGAGAAAGAGAATCAATAACGCTGTCGCATAACCGCGGTGCTAATTGTCTTCGGCTAAGTAATTCAAACAGACGATTAGAAACAAGGTCACGAATCTACTTTGGATCTACAATAAATCGATTCGCGATAATATAACAGACATGAAAGAACATATTCCATCTTCTCTAACTTCATCGTTTGAATAATCGGTCACCACGTTACTCATATTTGATTGACAGTCGAATGACAGTCAAGACCGTGTCACTCACGGTTGGCCCCTGGTTTCATTTCCAAATGTTATTCAATTCTAAATGTTAAAATGCAATAATAAGAAAGAAAAGAATTGTTGCTCGAGAAGTAACCCGAGTTCTCAGCAATTAGCAATTTACGTTTGGCAAGAGTGCTACTTAACTCGGTTCAATTACGAACAATTATGAAAGCTGAAAAACGGAACGAAATATCGCACAACGAGGTTGATATACAACACTCGCGGGGAACAGTTAAGTAACGCAATCGAATGATAAGTCGGTACATAGTCCTGTAGCATGGGGAATCTTTCAAAACAAACGGCTGGTGAGTGACAGTTCTTTGTGTCTCATATACGTCAACGTCTAAAATGGTTTACATATGAAACAGATGACGTCCACCGAACGTCACTGTATGGCAATGGGTTAACCACTTGTGGTGTAACGGCGAATCCATTTCGTCATGAGTTTCTTGTGCCAAACTGCGCCAAGTCGCACGTCACGTGAATAAACTTACGCGGGTTTTAACGCGAGTGAAATAATTCATACAAATTCCGCAAACTTTCATAAATACCTTAGACTAAGCGAAACAGAGATACAAGACTAAATGACCGGTTAAAACTGAACGCTTGTTCGATGCACCGAGAGATTGACAGATCTGGGAATTGTTCACGACCAGGTATAACGTCTCGGACTATGGTGTGCAGGTTAGCGCGATATCAATTATGAACCGAAGCTAACTGTGAATCCCGGCGAGCTTACGCGGCAAGAATCTCGATAATTCCTTGTTACAACAGTGGCTGATTGCTAGTGTCAACCGGAGACAGGTTACCGGCGAATATGCAACGATACCGCGGAGCTCGCGTATCAGCGATTTCTAAAGAGAAATTCTAATTTCGTGCCAGACAGTCTATCGAATGCCAGACATTTTTGCGCGAAATCGCGAGCCGATCGTTCGCCAATCGCACGAAGGGATCTAAGGGGAGGCCACGGAAAGTCCGGCAGGTCAAAGCTACCAACAAAAGCCCAAGTGTCGGGAAATACCGACGCGAGTTGCGAAAAATCGGCGTGGCGAGAAGATAAGCAAACCAGGGGATCTCCCAGTGTAGTTGGTACGGATGTATAAACATCTCAGGACAATCGTGAGGCACTCGCGACGAGAGACGTGCTCGCGAGCCGAGATAATCGAAGTGGGATATCCCGTTTTCCCTGGCTCCGCTTGATTCAATGCCAAGAATTCTTCGCACACAGTTACGTAGGCTTCTCTGTTTTACGATCCGCGATTAAGTAATTGCATGTATCAACCACGACGTATGGACAGTTATAGGTCGAGCGTTATCGAGAAACGAAAATAATGTAGCCGGGTATTTCGTGATCTTCGATATCCCTGCCATTGTCGTTTCCTCTCCCTCTTCCTCCCGTTTTCTCGAGTTTTCGCGATATCACGGGGATGAATGAAAGCGATGCGTAAATGGAAATGCCGATTTTGGTACGAGTATCGAGATATCGATATAGGATGTAGACTCTAAAAGGTTGCGAAGAAGATTGATATCACGGTTGAAAATTGAGAATAATTATTGCAATTATTATGGCATTAGGACTGCAACTATTGCAACTTATAATTTGTCTACATATTGGATATATGGATGGTAATAATTAAAGTGATACGATAAACATGATACAGGTAACCTCCTATAACACGGTAGATAGGTTCCTAGAAAATACCGTGTTGTATGAGACTCAAAGCCAGTACAAAAAGGGGGAGTTACGTTCCGAAAACTTACTAGAAACAAATTTTTATTTTAATTCTACATAAACAACTTAATTTTTATTAAAAATATAAATGTACGTACAACACAAAACAAAACAAAAACAAAAATATTATTTTAATTTAACACAATTTTAATTTAATAAATTTCTTCGTCGTCACTGCTCATGTAGAAGTACGGTGTTGTACAAAGGTTTTTGCAATTTTCTTATTGCGTTAGAGTGAAACCGTGTTATAGGATGCCGTGTTGTAGAAGGGTTCCCGCAATTTATGAATCGTGTTATAGCGAAACCGTGTTATAGGGGGACTACCTGTATATATAATTACGTCTTTATTTCAATAAAATGTCAACATCAATTTTGTCCAAAGTAATTCCAGGACTTTTTAGTAATTGCTGAGATAAAAGGTCTGAAACCAGTCATTTGGGCTAGTTTGGCACCAATCGATTTAATTTTCCCAATTTTGAATTAGATAAAGGAATATTCTACTTTTAAGTATAATTACTTTATCCACCGGTGCAAACAGTGAGATAACCAAATAGCGTACCAAAGTGAACGTGTCACGATCAAAATATCGTGAAGGAAAAGTAGTAATTACCACCTGGGAATAGTCACAGAGGAAATCCGATTAGAGAATGAACAAACATTCCTCGAGTTCGAATATCACTGGGAGAGAAAAAACGACGAAGGAAATATGGAGAGAAAGCCTGCGGATGCTTTCTTCTGGATTGTCCAGTTCGATTTTCTCGTCGAGGAAACTGACTGGTAATAATTCCGCCTTTTTCCAGTCCCCTTTCAACATTTCCAACTGATCGGACGTGAAATCTTTCTCCTCTTCTTTCTCCTCTCGATATTTCGAGCAGAAATAAACAGGACCAATAATTAGACGAAATAACACATACGAGAAAATTCGGGAAATAATACACGAAGACGAAATTTACGACTCCTGGATGTTTCACGTTAGCTGGCTACTCGCATTCATGTGAAAATAATGATACATTCTACGATATAATCTGTTAACGTAATTGTTTCTAATGCAGTGGCTCGTGCAACGTTCCGTGTACGATGTAATAAGAAAAAAAAAAAAAAAAAAAAAAAAAAAAAAAAAAAAGAGATCTAGTGTAGAGCATAATTGCACAGGCTACGTACATATTGACACAGAGAACGCGGATTCTAGCGAGCAGGAAATGGAATATTGCGAATCCTTTTTTCTCCGTGCAATATTCTTGTCCGAGAAAGGTTAGCCGTGTGCGAGATAGAAAGGAAGAGAGCCGTCGTTCAGAAAGGAAATTACCTTGCGGCTGGTAGAAATTTTATTTACAAAGGATTTCGTCGTCCCGTTTGAAAAATATTCATAGAAATTCCAATTTTTACGGCATCTCGCGTTTCACTGCTTTTAGCGTTTCGTGACCTGATTTTTTATACCTTTAAATATTCCTTTGCCCCCTCCCCCCGTGGCATTTATGCGAAGCTACGCGTCGGTCTTGCGATTTATCTCATTTTTGTTCTTGGCAGATGGAAAAGAATGTTTTCCTCGCCGAGTCGAGAGACTCCATGCTAGAATGGCAGCATCCCAGTGAAAGAATTCCACTTTGTACGTAATAGTCTCGCGATGGAAACTCGAATTCGATCAGAAACAGCGAAGCATTCTATCATATTACAGCGCGTAGTAGAACCTCGATTATCCGGATTAATAGGAGGACATGAGTGTTCGAAGAATTAAATTTTCAGACAATACGTGTTTTTTTTTTTCCATTTCAATTGCCAGACCAATTTTCCGTGACCTTCTGTTCACGTCACGTGCATTGTACGTTGCCAAAACTAATAGCGTTTCTTATATCACGCATCGTGATATTTATAAGACTGAAAAATCATTATGGTTCCGCGAATAGTCGTTCCAGATGCAAGGTATAATTAAAATAATTAAATAAGCGGAAAATTCGGAGTAACGTGCGTGCATATGACAGGAAACACGTTGAAAAATTGCTTACTCGAAAACTTGACAGGGGTCTGTCAACGGACGAACATCTAGCCGTGAAAAGGGGAATTAAAGCGTGTCTTACGCTCCATCCAGTGTCACAATGAGATACTCCGCGCGTAATTCAAGCGAGGTACCCACTCGACTCCATAACCAGGCATCCTTCGAGCATCCTTCGATATTAATCCCCGTCGAATCCATCAGCGATACATCCTCCTGATCGTCGAACGCGTCGGATCGATTGCGTCTGGATGGAGAGAAAAGTAGAAAGAAATTCCTGCGCGTCGTTCCCATTGAGACCACGACCGCCATTGCCCCGAGGCAGAAGAAAAAGATTCCACTCGGCGTGGTTACTTCTTATCTCCTCCATTTTCTTTCTCCTTTTACCCCTCTTTTCTTGCTCTTCCTCCTATTTTTTCTTCCTTTTTTGCGCCGTCATCGACCTCAGACCAGAGGCCCCGCTAACGACATTCACAGAAGCATTCTTGCTCACGGCCGAGTGCATGCTCGAAGCTCGCGTATAATGGCACCTAATGCGAATACATTCTGCGACTTCATTAATGACGGGGACGAGGCTGTCACGTGGGGCCATTACACCGTGCACACACGAGTCATGTGTGCTCTGTGTACGTTACGTTGCCGGAGTTATTTAAGTCGCGCCGCGTGTCAAGTCCTTCGAAGTTGGACGTCCGTCTATTCATTAGCGATACAACGCACCGGATTATGTTATTATCCGCACACGCAGAAGGAGGCACGAGTGCATACGCGTGCCGGGAACACGACAGAAGGAAAGCGAATTTTTACGATCGGAGAAGCGAGCCGGTTAGGTTA